CCTCAGGATGAGTGGCGCTGCCCAATACTGTCACTATGGCGGTGTGTCCACTCACAGGATGAGTGGCGCTACCCTATACTGTCACTATGGCGGTGTGTCCACTCACAGGATGAGTGGCGCTGCCCAATACTGTCACTATGGCGGTGTGTCCACTCACAGGATGAGTGGCGCTGCCCAATACTGTCACTATGGCGGTGTGTCCACTCACAGGATGAGTGGCGCTGCCCAATACTGTCACTATCGCGGTGTGTCCACTCACAGGATGAGTGGCGCTGCCCAATACTCTCACTATAGCGGTGTGTCCACTCACAGGATGAGTGACGCTGCCAATACTGTCACTATGGCGGTGTGTCCACTCACAGGATGAGTGACGCTGCCCAATACTGTCACTATGGCGGTGTGTCCACTCACAAGATGAGTGGCGCTGCCCAATACTGTCACTATGGCGGTGTGTCCACTCACAGGATGAGTGGCGCTGCCCAATACTGTCACTATCGCGGTGTGTTCACTCACAGGATGAGTGGCGCTGCCCAATACTGTCACTATGGCGGTGTGTCCACTCACAGGATGAGTGGCGCTGCCCAATACTGTCACTATGGCGGTGTGTCCACTCACAGGATGAGTGGCGCTGCCCAATACTGTCACTATCGCGGTGTGTCCACTCACAGGATGAGTGGCGCTGCCCAATACTCTCACTATAGCGGTGTGTCCACTCACAGGATGAGTGACGCTGCCCAATACTGTCGCTATGGCGGTGTGTCCACTCACAGGATGAGTGGCGCTACCCAATACTGTCACTATGGCGGTGTGTCCACTCACAGGATGAGTGGTGCTGCCCAATACTGTCACTATGGCGGTGTGTCCACTCACAAGATGAGTGGTGCTGCCCAATACTGTCACTATGGCGGTGTGTCCACTCACAGGATGAGTGGCGCTGCCCAATACTGTCACTATGGCGGTGTGTCCACTCACAGGATGAGTGACGCTTCCCAATACTGTCACTATGGCGGTGTGTCCACTCACAAGATGAGTGGCGCTGCCCAATACTGTCACTATGGCGGTGTGTCCACTCACAGGATGAGTGCCGCTGCCCAATACTGTCACTATGGCGGTGTGTCCACTCACAGGATGAGTGACGCTGCCCAATACTGTCACTATGGCGGTGTGTCCACTCACAGGATGAGTGACGCTGCCCAATACTGTCACTATGGCGGTGTGTCCACTCACAGGATGAGTGACGCTGCCCAACACTGTCACTATGGCGGTGTGTCCACTCACAGGATGAGTGGCGCTGCCCAACACTGTCACTATGGCGATGTGTCCACTCACAGGATGAGTGGCGCTGCCCAATACTGTCACTATGGCGGTGTGTCCACTCACAGGATGAGTGGCGCTGCCCAATACTGTCACTATGGCGGTGTGTCCACTCACAGGATGAGTGGCGCTGCCCAATACTGTCACTATGGCGGTGTGTCCACTCACAGGATGAGTGACGCTGCCCAATACTGTCACTATGACGGTATGTCCACTCACAGGATGAGTGGCGCTGCCCAGTACTGTCACTATGGCGGTGTGTCCACTCACAGGATGAGTGGCGCTGCCCAATACTGTCACTATGGCGGTGTGTCCACTCACAGGATGAGTGACGCTGCCCAATACTGTCACTATGGCGGTGTGTCCACTCACAGGATGAGTGGCGCTGCCCAATACTGTCACTATGGCGGTGTGTCCACTCACAGGATGAGTGGCGCTGCCCAATACTGTCACTATGGCGGTGTGTCCACTCACAGGATGAGTGACGCTGCCTAATACCGTCACTATGACGGTGTGTCCACTCACAGGATGAGTGACGCTGCCCAATACTGTCACTATGGCGGTGTGTCCACTCACAGGATGAGTGACACTACCATAGTAATGCTATCACTTGTACCATTTGTCCAAGGAATCTTACGAATGCGTAATGCTGAAGATAGAGGACCTAGTAGAGCTAGATCTCTAGAGGACCCAAGGCTCTAGGCGTGCCAGAGGTGTGTATAGAGCCGAGGTAGTTAGAGCTAAGATGTCAACCAGTGGTGTCATGTCACCAATGGTGTTTAACACCCTTGTGAAAAGGCATGCCATTAGAGGGCAAGACAGTGGAAACCCCGACTCTGAAACTAAATAAATTATCTATTGTATCTTCTGATTTTTGTCTTTAGGGATAACGTTCCTATCAACAATATCTTTCAGGACCATTTCCTCTGTTTTATGAGCCGTCGAAGAGAAGTTCCTGTAAAATAGTCTAATAGGGGGTATAGGTGTTGTGTTAGTTGACTCTTCAGAGGTTGCATGGCGTTTCACTTTCCTTCTTATGATGTCTTCGACGAAACCATTGGAGAAGCCGTTGTTGACTAGGACCTGCCATACCCTACAGAGTTCTTCGTCAACTTGCTTCCATCCTGAGCTGTGGCTGAGAGCACGGTCGACTCATAGTCTTGTTAATGAGACACAGGTGTTCAGGAGAGTTACCACCTCGCTATCGCCCTTCAACATAACCGTTAAGAGAAGCCGTTGTTGACTAGGACCTGCCTTACCCTACAGAGTTCTTCATCGACTTGCTTCCATCCTGAGCTGTGGCTGAGAGCACGGTTGATGTAAGCGTTGACAACACTCCTGTTGTACCTGTCTGGGCAGTCACTGTTGGCATTGAGGCACATTCCTATGTTTGTTTTCTTAGTGTAGAAAGAAACTACATATTGAGAGGCTGCAGGAGCACGCAAGCCATAAATCACTAAGAACTCTAAGTGATCGCACCAGGATTCGAACCCATGACGACCAGGATCACCCCCAAACTTGCACAGTACCGTGACCCCCTCACCATTGATTCGATCAATGGTGCCTCCAGGCACAGTACAGTACAGCACCAGCCACACCACCAACCACACCACCAACCACACCACCAGCCACACCACCAGCCACACCACCAACCACACCACCACCAACCACACCACCACCAACCACACCACCACCAACCACACCACCACCAACCACACCACCACCAACCACACCACCAACCACACCACCAACCACACCACCAACCACACCACCAGCCACACCACCAACCACACCACCAACCACACCACCAACCACACCACCAACCACACCACAAACCACACCACCAACCACACCACAAACCACACCATCAACCACACCACCAACCACAGCACCAGCCACACCACCAACCACAGCACCAACCACACCACCAACCACACCACCAACCACACCACCAACCACACCACCAGCCACACCACCAACCACACCACCAACCACACCACCAACCACACCACCAACCACAGCACCAACCACACCACCAACCACACCACCAACCACACCACCAACCACACCACCAACCACAGCACCAACCACACCACCAACCACACCACCAACCACACCACCAACCACACCACCACCCCACCACCACCACACCACCAACCACACCACCAACCACACCACCAACCACACCACCAACCCACCACCAACCACACCACCAACCACACCACCAACCACACCACCACACCACAGCCACACCACCAACCACACCACCAACCACACCACAGCCACACCACCAGCCACAGCACCAACCACAGCACCAACCACAGCACCAACCACAGCACCAACCACATCACCAACCACACCACCAACCACACCACCAACCACACCACCAACCACACCACCAACCACACCACCAACCACAGCACCAGCACCAGCAACGGAGGTGCCTCATATGCTATGCAAGAGTGTTTGTGAGAGGGACTGAGACCCTGAGGCCATGCTAGCCTAACACACACACACACACACACACACACACACACACACACACACACACACACACACACACACACACACACACACACACACACACACACACACACACACACACACACACACACACACGCACACACACACGCACGCACACACACACCTCCCCCTAGCCTCTATTCCCTCATTCGTCCAACCCGGACGACATAAAACCATTCACCAACTGGGTTATAAATGACTGGAGACATGCACAGATGCGCCCGCCAAGGCTCAAGAGGAAACTGGCAATTCTCCTTGGCGTGTGGCAACTGTCTGCGCCCTGAGGCAATGCCTCGAACGGGGGTGCGCAGAGCAAGTGTTGCAATACCCCCCCTCTCCTCCAGCGACCCCCTCCACACACACACACACACACACACGCACACACACGCACGCACGCACACGCAGCTCCAAACACAAGAGAAATATCCGTTCTTAACGTCCTTCTCTGATGATGATGATTCAAAGAGATATGGAGAGGTTTGGGCGAAGGTCCAGTGGTGGTTGGTTGTGGTGTGGCCCGAGTGCCCTTGTGGCGTGGCCCATGGGCCTGCTGGTGTGGCCCATGGGCCTGCTGGTGTGGCCCATGGGCCTGGTGGTGTGGCCCATGGGCCTGGTGGTGTGGCCCCCCCCAAGGGGACGTCTGGCTGGGGCCCGCCACAGCCTCCAGTGGGCCCCCATCCAAGCCATACCCGGAACTCCAGTCCTTAACTACACATTTCCTCCTCCTAGATGCTTACCTGTGGACCGAACCGGTTCAGTAGTGTACCTATGGCCCGCTATCCGGCTCCAGAGCCGGATATCCGTTAACTTCCCTGTGGTAACATCCGTGTATCAGTTAAACGGACACTACGGTCGATATTCGGATTCAAAATTTAAAAATACGAAAATTAAAAATTTTGAAATTTGAACAGGGATTTCTTTGTGGTGCCGTGTTCGGACATGTCCGTAATGGCTTCATCTGAGCCGTAAACTCGCACAAACGCTACTCAAGTCCGCATAAACACTCTCACTGGTCCGTATAACCAGCTACCAAAATAATTACCAATCTGTATGCCTGTAACGGACACTATTCGGTTAAGCGAGATATAGCGGGCTATATTCGGTATAAGTAACGGACGGCGTCCGGTATAACGGATTATATATCATCGAGACGTTCTTATTACCGGACCTCCATTATCCGGCTTTATTGACGCATGCCTTATGGCAATATTGGTGGCGACGCATGCCTTATGGCAATATTGGTGGCGACGCATGCCTTATGGCAATATTCGTGGCGACGCCTTATGGCAATATTCGTGGCGACGCATGCCTTATGGCAATATTGGTGGCGACGCATGCCTTATGGCAATATTGGTGGCGACGCATGCCTTATGGCAATATTGGTGGCGCCGCATGCCTTATGGCAATATTGGTGGCGACGCATGCCTTATGGCAATATTGGTGGCGACGCATGCCTTATGGCAATATTCGTGGCGACGCATGCCTTATGGCAATATTGGTGGCGACGCATGCCTTATGGCAATATTCGTGGCGACGCATGCCTTATGGCAACATTGGTGGCGACGCATGCCTTATGGCAACATTGGTGGCGACGCATGCCTTATGGCAACATTGGTGGCGACGCACGCCTTATGGCAACATTGGTGGCGACGCATGCCTTATGGCAACATTGGTGGCGACGCATGCCTTATGGCAACATTGGTGGCGACGCATACCGTATGGCAACATTCGTGGCGACGCATGCCTTATGGCAACATTCATGGCGACGCATGCCTTATGGCAACATTCGTGGCGACGCATGCCTTATGGCAACATTCGTGGCGACGCATACCGTATGGCAACATTCGTGGCGACGCATGCCTTATGACAACATTCATGGCGACGCATTCCCTATGGCAACATTCGTGGCGACGCATGCCTTATGGCAACATTCATGGCGACGCATGCCTTATGGCAATATTGGTGGCGACGCATGCCTTATGGCAACATTCATGGCGACGCATGCCTTATGGCAACATTCGTGGCGACGCATACCGTATGGCAACATTCGTAGCGACGCATGCCTTATGGCAACATTCATGGCGACGCATGCCTTATGGCAACATTCATGGCGACGCATGCCTTATGGCAACATTCGTGGCGACGCATGCCTTATGGCAACATTCGTGGCGACGCATGCCTTATGGCAACATTCGTGGCGACGCATGCCTTATGGCAACATTCATGGTGACGCATTCCCTATGGCAACATTCGTGGCGACGCATGCCTTATGGCAACATTGGTGGCGACGCATGCCTTATGGCAATATTGGTGGCGACGCATGCCTTATGGCAATATTGGTGGCGACGCATGCCTTATGGCAATATTGGTGGCGACGCATGCCTTATGGCAATATTGGTGGCGACGCATGCCTTATGGCAATATTGGTGGCGACGCATGCCTTATGGCAATATTGGTGGCGACGCATGCCTTATGGCAATATTGGTGGCGACGCATGCCTTATGGCAATATTGGTGGCGACGCATGCCTTATGGCAATATTGGTGGCGACGCATTATGGCAACATTCGTGGCGACGCATTATGGCAACATTCGTGGCGACGCATTATGGCAACATTCGTGGCGACGCATTATGGCAATATTGGTGGCGACGCATTATGGCAACATTCGTGGCGACGCATTATGGCAACATTCGTGGCGACGCATTATGGCAACATTCGTGGCGACGCATTATGGCAACATTCGTGGCGACGCATTATGGCAACATTCGTGGCGACGCATTATGGCAACATTCGTGGCGACGCATTATGGCAACATTCGTGGCGACGCATTATGCCAACATTCGTGGCGACGCATTATGGCAACATTGGTGGCGACGCATTATGCCAACATTCGTGGCGACGCATTATGGCAACATTCGTGGCGACGCATTATGGCAACATGGCGCATGATACATGTTTCAATAACATTAATGCTATTTATCGTCTCTGTAAAATTATTAAACTGTTTAAAATTTGTGTTAATATCCCTTATCCTATTTAATAATATCCTATTAAAATATATATCCAATTTAATAATATCTGATTTATAATTAAATAATATTTTTTTTAATTTCGTATTGGTGGTTCTTAAGGATTAATATTTTCGCTACTTTCTGTAAGAGTTCAAGGGACTTTGTGTCTGTCTGTCGTAACGAGACCAAACCTGAACTGCTGAATCAAAATAGTGCCAACACACAGGCTTGGGGACAGCTTAAGGATGATATTAAATTAGTAATTTAGGAGTTGGCATTAAGCCTAGCAGTAGAAATGAAATGAAGCCTAGCAGTACAATAGGTACCTGGGTGTTAGTCAGCTGTCACGGGCTGCTTCCTGGGGGTGGAGGCCTGGTCGAGGACCGGGCCGGATCGTCTCAAGATAACCTCAAGAAGCCCTTAAATTACCTAATGGTTGTTAAAGGCCGTGGGAATAGTTTGATGATTAAACTAGTATGTATAATTTAGCCTTTAATAGAGACCAAAGTTAACTGTTAATGTTTATATACTGAGATATGAATGATAACTCTTGGGATAGAATATTTTTATTAGATGCTTTATTAGTTCACGTAATAAATCCCTGTATCTTATTGACCAGACCACACACTACAAGGTGAAGGGACGACGACGTTTCGGTCCGTCCTGGACCATTCTCAAGTCCATTGTGAGTCGACTGGATAAAGGGAAGATACAGGGTTACCAATCCCTGTATCTTGTTTTCTTTATTCTGTACATTTTTCCTTTGACTTTTTGCCTAAACCTTTGGACTAGCCAAGGCCTTAAGAATCGTTTCGTGTTCAAACTAATTTCAATCTTGTTCACATAATGTCAGCCAACTCCATAATTGTTTTCATTGCTCTAAATCTCACCTTAATTAGCATTAAACTACATCTCCTAATCACTCGTCTTACTTCAATCACCTATCTACATCACCTTGTAACGATCACGAATCTCATTCGAATTTATTTCCAGCTTTAATGTTTAAATTATCTGCAAAATTGCAAATATTGTTCGTCATTTGCAATTCTGATCTTGACTTTTTTATTCCTGATGGTCCTCTATCCTTCCTATCTATATACTAGTCTCATGTTCTTTGTACTCACTTGAATTTGAATTTGAATTTGAATTTGAACCTGTTTGGAATAAGGGAAACGAGAGAGGTCCCAGAACAGAGCCCTAAAGCAGTCTGGTTACAACAGTCTTCTATTCAGACCTCAACATCACTTGAAACAACCCAACAATGAGTTAACTCAGGATAACTCACCTCCCCCCCCCCTCCACCATAAAAATATTGTTCCTCTAATTGTATAATGACTTTCTCGTAAGGCACCGTAAACACACACAAAGACACTGTTAAAGCATTTCTAACAATCAAGGAATCGTGGAATTTAGGACTCGACAAACCTATCAGGCAAATGGGGTCAAGATAATCCCATAAGAATACATAAAGTCGACTAAGAATACAGCGGACGGTCTTTAACAGAGAATGTTATGTACTGTCAAGAAACAGTTTATAGACCTTGACAGTATATGTAGAAACAGTTTAGAGACGTTGACAGTATATGTAGAAACAGTTTAGAGACGTTGACAGTATATGTAGAAACAGTTTAGAGACGTTGACACTACATGTAGAAACAGTTTAGAGACCTTGACACTATATGTAGAAACAGTTTAGAGACGTTGACACTACATGTAGAAACAGTTTAGAGACCTTGACACTATATGTAGAAACAGTTTAGAGACCTTGACACTATATGTAGAAACAGTTTAGAGACCTTAACACTATATGTAGAAACAGTTTAGAGACCTTGACACTATATGTAGAAACAGTTTAGAGACCTTGACACGATATGTAGAAACAGTTTAGAAACCTTGATACACTATATGTAGAAACAGTTTAGAGACCTTGACACTATATGTAGAAACAGTTTAGAGACCTTGACACTATATGTAGAAACAGTTTAGAGACCTTGACACTATATGTAGAAACAGTTTAGAGACCTTGACACTATATGTAGAAACAGTTTAGAGACCTTGACACTATATGTAGAAACAGTTTAGAAACCTTGATACACTATATGTAGAAACAGTTTAGAGACCTTGACACTATATGTAGAAACAGTTTAGAGACCTTGACACTATATGTAGAAACAGTTTAGAGACCTTGACACTATACGTAGAAACAGTTTAGAGACCTTAACACTACATGTAGAAACAGTTTAGAGACCTTGACAGTATATGTAGAAACAGTTTAGAGACCTTGACACTATATGTAGAAACAGTTTAGAGACCTTGACAGTAAATAAACTGTCAAGAAAATCGAACGTTTCTAATTGCTATGTAGTGTGAACACTGTGGGTAGCGAAGGAGTCTCCAGTCACAGGCCTTATGAAAGCTACTCCTGTTTCCCCAATAGAAAAAGTCCATCAAAGTGCCCCTTTGGGAAACGGGTCTTCAGGGGACATTCAACTAGCCAGGCTCAAAGGGTAAGGATTCCCTTTCTCTTGCGAGACAGCATCTGTAGGGACATGGTAAGTCACTACAGATCTTTCTTTCGTCACAATCTTTCTTGCTGGAAGATTCTTGACGGTGAAGATCTAATTCTTTGAGGAATAGTGACTCCAGTGTGCCTTGGTTTCTTCTCTGATATTGGGGTCTCCAATCATACTTCAGCTCGGCCCAACCACTTGGGCTGGACGGGAGAAAGACGGTCTCGCTTCATGCAGGTCGGCGTTCAATCCCCGATTGTCTTGTGGTTGGGCATCATACTCCTAGAGCTTTACTCTCTCCCACTACAGCTCCCCTCGTGTGTCACACACACACACACACACACACACACACACACACACACACACACACACACACACACACACACACACACACACACACACACACACACACACACACACACACACACACACACAGATATGATAGAGCCCAATAGGCACAGGAGCCTGTACACCAGTTGATTGACAGTTGAGAGGTGGTACCAAAGAGCCAAAGCTCAACCCCCGCAAGCACAAATAGGTGAGTACAAATATGTGAGTACACACACACACACACATGACAAAACCAGGGAAGGATTGACTGGGAACCACTCAATATGGACCTTGGAGTAAATCTGATTAGCGTCTTGTGTTCCAGGAAGCTTCAGCAAGGTACAAGGTTGTACCAAGAGCCATGGGGACAGGGAAGGTTCCCAACCAGTTGACGGGAGACAG